ATAATTTCAAATTTAGTAAAAACAACTTAAATAAAAAGCACTTATCAGAAAATAACTTAATTCACAATGGAAACAAACATGACTTTGGGTCATGGTTCTCACTATGACACATTCCTACGATCCGAGTCACTTCTATTACGAGAGTCTTTACGTAATTTATAAAAAATAGATAAATATGGGCAACACCTGCTTTCGCTTACGTGTTTCCCTATTGATGATGAATAATCTGTTGGCTTTCGATTGACCGTATTATTTGTCAGGGATTCATTACTTTTGCTCAACTATAAAAAATGGAACTTTCTCAAATTCATCCAAGTGCTTTCGTTGTATTAGACTTGTCTGTTTAAAAACCTACGCTCTGGTACCGATACATATCCTTTCAGAATCCGATCGGGACTTGAGAACACTTTAATTTCGTACAAGAGTTGGAATGCATTAACTCGGGTATTAAAATAAATGTGGACGGATAACTCTTGTAATTGACTTATGACAAATCATACATACGGTCACGAGATGATCGCCATAACCCATAGTCCCTAATGGACCACTCACTCATTGTAAGGACAAATACAATTAAATTAATATTCACAAATGAATTCATATTAAACAATTGAATTAAACAAGCAATTATAATGAAAATAAATAAGAAGCCCAACTTGATACACTTTAATTTAATGCTCCAATGAAGACTTAAGTACATAGAGAATTAGAATACGTAGAAACTTCTGGAATTTAAACTTCGATCCCTAAACTCACAACTAACTATGAGTTTTATTCAAAAGGCTAAAACTAGGATAAAATCTCATGATCAATTCTTATTACATAAGAATATATCACATATAAACATGCCAAATACCAAAAACATGTGAAATTAGTCTAAAAAAGAAAATAATCAAAACATGTCTCGCCCTCCTGCTACGACCCGTAACAAACCTCTTCTTTTTTGTATGGGTACTTCAAAAGTGGGGGAATTCTAGTGCTACGGCTCGTAGCAGTTGCTACAGGTGGTTGTAGCAGCCCTCTGGATTTTGTATGAGGATTTTTCAACTTTTGACATTTTTCAGCGCTTTGCTTGTTTTTCGATCCTTTTTTCACCTTAAACACTCACTAAACCCTAAAAACAGGAAAATCACATAACCAAAGAATATAATACAATAAACACAAATAGATCGGACACAAAACAGTAAAATGCTAAGGTAAAACGACTAGTAAAGATGATACAAAAGCCACTTATCAATCCGTCTGCCATTTGGGAGGCGTCACCCTTGAAATATTTCTTTAGACGATCTTCTTAGATGAGGAATTTTATATTCTTATTGAGTTGATAATAATCTTTGATGTGTCGCATCCCTTGACATTGTAGAACTTGCACCATCTGTTAGGCTTTGGCCCCGTGACATCTGTCTTAGGCCTTATTGGTTGTGGAATATCGTTCATGTGGAGAATTTCACGCCTTAATGCCATATCTATTCACAGGGAGTGTTCAAAGGCCTGAAGCTCTCTGCAAATTTTCCACTTTGCTTGAGCACCACCCTTTCTCTGATGAGCAAGATGTAGTGACTTTTCCACAACTATTGTGAGCTACAAGGGTTACTAGCGATACACTTTTTTGACATCTATGGCCTTTTTAAACCTTTTTTTCTCACCTTTTATGTAACATTATGCATATGTAACCACCTCGTCCAAGGAAGTTATGGGCATCTGAGCAAGAGATTCACTAAACTTTGTTTTTATTTTTTTATTTTTGCGATTTCACCAATGCAATACAATTTTTTATCTTAGTTTTTCCCCTTGTTGGCATGTACAATGAATTTCAAAAAATAATATTGTACCTTGCCATTTGAGGTAATTTTTTATCGTCCTCCCACCATGCCAACTAAATTTTATTGTCATATGTAAATCAAAAAGTTTGCAAAACTATTTTTTATATAAGCCGACAATATTGATGATTTAAGTGGGCTAGAAAACTACTACATCTTGAAAAAATTACCTATTTGATATCTATGTATTATCAATTTTCTTTTATTATCTTTTTAGTTTATGTATATCATAAATTTTATTAAGTGAGCAATACTTTTTTTTATTTCTCTCGTAAAGTAGATAATACTATTACTAATTGATAAGATTTTAGTATAATTAAAAGATTGAAATCCTCGCAGTTGACACAAATGATCCAATTTACAATATCATAAAAAATAAAATAAAAACACACATTATTATATGGTATATATATTTTTTGAGTTATTACCCTTAAGATAAATGATGGTGAGTGAGATTGATTAATACATTATTATCGAAAATTTTAAGTATAAGATATTTTTGTGGGAATTAAAGAAGACGAAAATGTAAATGAGTTTACGAGAAGCAAAAGAATAAGGAAAAACATATTTATTCTTTAAACGAAATGTCTCAATCTCAACCATTTATTTTTATTCAAGGACTATTAAGCACTCTTTCTATTCTTACATAAAAATAACATTCATAATATAACCATAATTTCACATTCCAAGCACAATTCGACCAAATAGTTCAATGAGCATAAATAGAGGAGAATGTAAATTTGAAAGAAAAAAAACGTTCCCATGGATTCATCGTCCACCAATCCATAGTTTTTCGAAGACATGTGAGTTTTTTTTTTTCTTCATGTATTTCTTTGGAGGATAACAACTTATCACCACAAGGCAAAAGAAATATTAAATGAAGATAATTATCTCAATTAGCAAGATAAAATTGGTAAACTTTTATTGAAATGATTGAGTGACAATAACCTTCCTTACATGGTTTTGAAAGTCGAGTTAATGAAACATCAACATTATTTATAAGTGTCTGCATAAAATCCTAACATATAATTAAAAGAGACCATAAAAGATGATGCCAACCAAGCTCAAGGATAAACATGCAACACTACATGGCCATTCATGTTAGACAATGCTAAGGGTAACAAAATAAAACAATACATCACGAAACATAACAACACAACTTAAAAAGGCACACCACCGTAAAATTATACTTCATGCTAAACTTAGAATGCACAAACAAATTACAATGAAAAACATGAAACCAAAATGAGAGAAGCATGAAAGAAACACCATAGAGAAACATTGAACACCAAACCCATACATACTTCATTAAGAAATAAAAAATAATTATTCAAGAACAAGTAGTGTCAGATGGACTAAATTTTAACGAATTTGAAGTTTCATCAGGTTATTCTTGTAAGTGATAAAATGTTAAGGAAAGAAGTAGTTATGAAATCCAAAATAGGTTGATACCCCAATTAGGCTGACACCCTAATAATTATTACCAATCAAGCATTCTAAAAAAAATTAAAAAAAGTACAAATTTGGAGGGACTAGGTCAAAACCCAAGGCACATACACAATGTGTGGGAAAATCTCTACATTTTTAAAAACCTTGGTGAAGGAAAAAAGAGTGCAAAGTTGACAAACAAAGATTCAAACATCAAATCCAGATAACATATACCTAGACAATCCTAAACTATTATGATTAAAATCCCTACTAATAAAATTTGATAGGCTATTATACTAGTGAAACTAGAAATAGATAACCAAATGTTAGTAATTTTACGAACACAAAAGTTTACTTATTTATAAATGCGAGTAGCTCTAAAACACATACTTATAATCAACATTAAGCTATTCAACCATTTGTCGTGTAAATTCTTGATTTTGAATTTTTTAAAAGCCATGTTAATAAGCTGGAAGTTAGATTCAAGCCAAAGGCGAGTTCATCCTTTCTCATAGGCTAATATAATAATAATGACAATACCATTAACTTCAACATTCAAAGAATACAAAACACATATACGGAGCAAGAGAATTAAGGAAGTTAACATTGCAAAATTTGAAAATTCCATCATAAGAAGTTTGACATAGGTTATCATAAGTAATCCCCCCATCCACACGGTATTTGATCCAAAGGGTGAAAGTAGGCAATCATATCGCCTTTTTGATATTATAAGCATTGAAAAATATGAATATTCATATAGAAAGATTTGAGGATAGAAAATTCAACCATATTAAAAGGGGTAACAAGTGAGTTCCAACTCAAGAATCATAAATTCACTTGAGAATGTCTTAAAACAACGAAATCAATTATTCTCAAAATATAAGAATGATCTGATTGTAAAGAAAATACATTATTTCATAAATTTGCTTTTCTAATTCTAATAAAATGCGAAAAATATTTTATTACCTTTTTTTTCTTCAATCCTCTTTAAAACAAAAGTACTCGTTTATGATAAAAAAAACTAAATTATTTTAAAAAGCTTATAAAAATAAAATAAATATTATAAGAAACAAAATTATTCTCTATATTTTTCATCTTTCTCTCTTCAATATTTTTCTTACAACATTATTCTATCCTATATCTTTCCCCTTTGTCACTAGAAACCAAAAGACATATATGAAATGAAAGGTTAAAGTAATATCCTAAAAACAAAACAGTAAGTAAGAAAGAGATTGAAAAAATTAAACACATTAATTAAAACCCTAAAACAAAAATAAACCCAGCACCCTGTATCAGACATCAGAACACAACTTGGAGTCGAACTGAGCTCATTTGGCCGGAAAAAGCATCGGAGTCGATCGTCGGCCGCCAGAAACAGCGAAGACTCGTCCAGGTATCCATTTTTCTTCGAATTTTCCTCCCCCTCTCCCGTAGCCTGCACGATGATGCAATTTGTGGCCGCGATAGCGCCCAACGCAAAACCTAACAACGTATCGGAGAATCGCGTCACAGCGGAGCTCCTCTCTGCACCACAATTGCGCGCTGAAGTTCTGAAATTCGCAGATCTATTGCATTGTCGTGTTATACTCCACGCTTATCTTATGTAGCACCAGATCTGTTGCATTGTAGTGGTTCCCTTTCAATTGAAGCTTCAATTTTGTTTTCTCTCATAGCAAATGCATAATGCTGGCTCTAATTTGATTTTTGTTTGGATGAATGATTTTGTGGATGTTTTGAACTAATGAAGACCTGATGGGAAAAGATAACCAATTGTCTGCTATGGAAGTTGATGATCCAAAATCAACGAGTTCTGATCAGATAGTTCCCAAATTCTCTATTAATGGTTTGTTTTCTCATTCATTCTACAATGCAGTTTATTTTACGAATGAATCCTTTTCAATAGTTAAACTTTGATGGTTGGTGTAAATTAAGGTTTTGATTTTGAAATTTACAGTACTGCAGCTCTTAAAATCAGCACAAATGCAGCATGGTTTGCGCCATGGAGATTACACTCGCTATCGGTATGTATTTTCATTGTTGCTAACAGGTTGTGGATTTATTTTGTAGCTGTCTGTACTATGTACAAGAGTTTTACATCCCAAAACAAATGTTTATGGGAGGGATAGAAAGATGCACACATTGTACTAGTTTTATAGCAACTGAAACAGTTTATCCTTTATAATTTGTAAACATTTTAGAGATTCAAGACCTCGTTTTCTGGTATTTTGGACTAACCATCCACTCTGTATGATCACTACTGCTTATGGAAATTTTTATTTAAACAGCTTCTTTAGATAATAGTACGGTCAAATATCTATAATTTGGTAATATATGTGCTTTTTCCCTCAACACTGTAGGAGGTATTGCACAGCTCGGTTGAGGAGGTTGTATAAATCCTTGAAGTTTACCCATGGTCGTGGCAAGTATGCGAAAAGAACCTTAACTGAGGCTAATGTCACTGAAGTAAGGTATGCTTTGTTTACTGTGTATCTCTCTTCTCTGCTACAAGTTCTGGAACTTTATATTAGTTTCAATTAGCTGTTAGGATTTACTATCTTTGTTACTATCAATTTATTTCTGGCTTCAGTCCCCAAAACAAGTAACTTCTGGGTTCACTTAGGAGTTAGTGACTATGGCTATGTAGTAGTAGGCTAGGGCTAACGACTCCACAAATGTGTGCATTACTATTACAATCTCTAAAAATTTAAGCATTAGAGGTGAGACGGTTATAAGTATGGGTGGCGATGGTATTACAATTACAATCCATGTAATAGTGGTAATTAAGAAAACTAAATCCATGTGGCTGCGAATCTTATCATTGTAGTAGATAGACACTAAGAGTCGTGAGTCCCACATTGGACGAGATAAGGTCTAACAATATGTTTATAAGTGGTGGATAAACCGGTTTTGTAAAGATGAGTGATGCCCAATATGAAAATCTAATATGGTATTAGGGTCTATTCAAGATCCATTGAGCCATCTGCTATAAGGTCACTGCTGTCGGACTTGGACCACCCGCGTCATGCTTCAGATGTCTTAGTCCTTGGCGTGAGGCATGTGTGTTAAGAGACCCACAGTAGATGATATAAAGTCTGACAACCTATTATTAAGAGTTGGGTAGTCCTCACCTTACAAGGTTTTGCAAGGATGAGTGTAAAAATCTAATTTAGACAAACAAGTAGATCCACTCCTATCTACCACCCTCCCCAAGGCTCTTCTCTCTCTGCCTTCCACATTCAATACCCATTTTCCAACAAACATCATAATGCTGCTTTTTGTGATAAGCGTTTGTAGGCCGGGTTTTCAATGAAGAGTTTAAGTCGATTGGTGGTTGTTACATCTTCTGTTTGTTGAGTAATAATTTTGACTGTTCTTGCTCTTGAACCACTTTCAGCTGTCTTTCTTAGCATTTCTATCATGCATGTCATTATCTAAACATGAAATTTCCTGCCTTGATATGAAAACCATCTTTTAGACCTTGGTTTGTCTTCTTTCCCAGTTTAAAAAAAATGTTTTTACTGTATTTGTGAATTAAATTTTTTGTTTTCATTTTTCTTGCAGTTTTTCAAGTTATCTATATATGTTTAATGTCGGAGGTTACTTTTCAATTCAGGTTTCTTCATGTGATTCTCTATTCGGCAGAGAGAGCATGGAGTCATGCCATGGAGAAAAGGCAGCTTCCGAACGGACCAAATGCGTCTCAACGTATCTATCTGATTGGTAGGCTGCGGAAGGCAGTAAAGTGGGCTACTCTGTTTTCACAATTGTGTGCTGTAAAGGCAGATTCTAGAACATCTTTGGAAGCTGAGGTGAGTCTTTTAATCAGTATTGCAACAAAGGCATGTGGCAACCATTATTTACGTCAAATGGTTTATTGTTGATTGAATGGAGTGTTTTTTTTTTTTTTTGCATTGTGTTTCCCACCCCTCTTTTGGTAGTCATAGAAGATCAATTAGCATTTCAAATGTCTATAGCTCTTTTAATATACAGAATCAAATATCTTTGTTGTTCTTTTTAAGGCTTTTTAGAGTTAGTGTTGAATTCGTTCCTTTCCGGAATAATATGATATAGAGCATTACATGTTATGAAACCTTCAAAAAGATCTGTAATGAAGTAACATATAATAATGTTGAAATTATGTTGTATCATTTTAGAATAACTTAGAAAGTTGATAGGTTTTACTCCAACACATTGATTTCAAATTTGAAACATTGCCTCTTATTTTAAGGATTTTTGTTTTTTGAAAAAGCCAAATGATCATATATTAACAGAAATTATTCACTGCACAAAGGGTGCCATACTATTCACAATTTTTCCGCATATTTGAAAGATTTGGAATAATTTAAAATTTCAAAGCATTTCGGAGACCAAATATTCTAGGAATTCAAAGTATTTCTTTTTTCCATCAAGATTCAGTCTTTTTTCTTTTATAGTGGTGGGTTCCAAAATTATCTGTATATCCTATTCTGCTTTTTTAGTAATTATTTATCAATTTTAGGAGTTCTTTGATTTAAAAATGCAAATGCTTTGATAATTTACTCTTTACTTTTTTAGTATATGACTGAAGATATTTTTCTTTTGCTGATGAAGAATGGAAGTGTTTCTCTTACAATTGTTCACTGATTTTCAGGCCTACGAGTCCTATATGAAGGGGAGTTTGTTGTTTGAGCAAGACCAGAACTGGGATGTGGCTTTAAAACACTTCAAAAGTGCTAGGTACATATACTATCTTTCGTTGATTTATACATTATCATTGAAAGAAGAAAAAAAATGAAGGAACAAGCTTATGCTTGGTCGAATGAGAACTTTTTGAAAAGAATTCAAATTGTTGCCTTTTTTGTTGCAAAACATTTGTTAATTGTATAATCTAGCATATTAGCTTTTGTGATGCTTCTGTTATTTTTACTCACCCGGTCGAGTTTCTAATAAGTATTTTATAGGGCTGTATACGAAGAATTAGGGAAATATGGAGATCTGGATAACCAAGTTTTGTGTCGTGAGCGGGTGGAGGAACTAGAACCTAGTATCAGATACTGCCTTCACAAAATTGGCCAGTCAAATCTACAAACCTCTGAACTATTAAACATTGGTGATATGGAAGGTCCTGCATTAGACCTTTTTAAAGCTAAACTAGAGGTTGGTACAGATTTCATTTGTATAAACTATTTGAGAAAAAGGGAAAACGGGTAATGTGATAGGCAGGCATATCTTTTCAAATCAATATATTCAAATATTTTTTATGAGAACATGTTGTTACATTTAGGTGGAATTTCAATTTCATGTTTATTCAATAAGTAGGACACAATCATACACAGATAATACGATCGTTTTAATGTTAATAAACTCTTAAATAGCCTAATTTTCATACTCAAGAACTTCTAAAGTTTCAAAATCTGAAGAAAAGCGAATTCAAGTTGATGCTTGGTTCCTTCTGTTTTGCCAATATGGTTAATCCGATAATAAATTATTTCTGTTTCCCAGCACTGGAGCCCTTGGAAAGAACTGTGTAATTTCTCATATTAGTATCATGTGCAGTAGTCACATTTGCTAATGTTTTTAAATATAACGTTTTACATTTTTCCATGCAAGAGTCTTAATCAGTTCTATTACTTGAATCAATTGCTTGTTATTTTGAGAGATAACATACTGTTGGTACCAGGCTGCCATGGCTGAGGCAAGATCTCAACAAGCTGCTTCCATGACAGAATTTCATTGGCTTGGCCATAGATTTCCAATATCAAATGCCAAAACAAGGGTTGCCATTTTGAAAGGTTGGTACCTTCTCATAAATTTTAGACGGCTAGTAAGTTGAAAATAAAATTATCTATTGATCAAACTTAAAAAAGATGACTTAACCTCACCTTTGCCCCACATGCATGTAACCACCTAGTGGTCTCTTTTGCCCACGGTGCAAAATGGCATTTCTATTTTGGAATGTTCTTTCTGTTTTTTCTTTCATGAGCATGCTGTGATAAAATTGATTGCAAATGTTCCTAAACTAGATGTCAGTTGCTGTGATAATTTAGAACTTTGCTTTTCCCTTTGTTGAGGTTGGTGTTGCAAATTATAGGCTGTGTTTTCTGATATCAAATGTATGCAGAAAATGTTGGCTTGCAGAACTTGGTGTCACTGTGTTAATATTATTTTATTAGTATACTTGATATTCATTGTAGATCTGTAGTAGATCTGCTGACCACAACTCTTTGTGGTAATATAATTTGGCCCATGAAAATTTATTTCTGATCCCTGGACTAGTAGATTTTACTTCTGACTTGTATACCTTGGTTTACATCCATAATGCTCCTTTTAGTGTTAAACTGAATTTTACTTTGTAAATGTAAAAAGCCTAAACCCCATACACATAATATATTTGTTGAGGTGTTGTGAAGTTGTTAACTCCTATGAAGCACAGCCACCAGACATCGACACGTCAACATTGTTAATTTAAAAAACATAGGACTTTGACACCGCCACACATATATTAATTTATTTATTACAATTAAAAAAAACGTTATTGATAAAATATCTCAATTGAGAATCAAAATATTTATCCATCTAAAGTCAAAAAAATCTAAAAATAGTTGAAATCAAATTTAATGTCTTTTAAAAATTCCTTGATCAATATTGTTTTAACACATCTTTAACCCTTGTAGTTGTGTCAAATGAGTGTATAAGATGTGTCAAAGCAAAACATATATTTTTTTTTGGGACACGTGTCTAATTTGTCTAACACTTGTCATACTGGTGTCAGACATTGATCTAAGGAATGTCAAAACAACAACTACGCCTTATCCCACTAAGTGGGGTCGGCTACATGAATCAAACTACACCATAATGCTCTATCAAAGATCATGTTTCTATCAAATTTGTTAATTTCAAGATCTTTCTTAATTGTTTCTCTTATATTTTTTTTAAGTCTTTCTCTACCTCTAGTTGTTCGACACCTCTCCATCTGATCTACTCTCTTTACAACAAAATTTACAAGTCTTCTCTCTACATGCCCAAACCACCTAAGCCTAATTTTCACCATCTTTTCTACTATAGGGGTGTTATCTCAACACTCTAATATTGTCATTTCTAATCTTATCTTGTCTAGTTTTACCACATATCCAACACAACATTCTCATCTTTGCTAGACTTACTTTAGGTCTAAGGAGTGTTGAAACAAAGATTTGTTTTTAGACATTTGTGTGAATTACCTGACACGTGTGTGAGTGTTGGACACCGCGGCACATCTAATTCTATAGGTGGCCGTGCTTCATAGGTTAACTCATGTGGATATCTAAGCCAAAGGAAACTAACACTTTTTTAGAACCTACCTCTCTTGAATTTGTGGCAACTATCTTCCTTGGCTTCAACTTACATTGTCAAAAATTTATTGGAAGTGGAATTTTCGGCAACAGTTGCATACAGGTTTTTTTTTTAGTTTATTTCATGAAGGTGATTTATCAATTCAAACATGTTATGTAGTATCAAAAGGAGGTATTGTTACTGGAGCTCAAACACTTTTATTTGTACATGCGAAACAAAATCCCTCATGCTGTTTTTGATTCATGAATCACAGTATCACACTATTTATTTTTCTTTTTGGGATTCGTTTCTTAAAATTGTATTTGGTTGTGATTTAGCATATCTTAAAAAGGGGGTATTGTTATTGGAGCTCAAACACTTTTATTTGTACATGCGAAACAAAATCCCTCATGTTGCTTTTGATTCATGAATCACAGTATCACACTATTTATTTTTCTTTTTGGGATTCGTTTCTTAAAATTGTATTTGGTTGTGATTTAGCATATTTTAAAAAGGGGTATTGTTACTGGAGCTCAAACACTTTTATTTGTACATGCGAAACAAAATCCCTCATGTTGTTTTTGATTCATGAATCTCATTATCACACTATTTATTTTTCTTTTTGGGATTCGTTTCTTAAAATTGTATTTGGTTGTGATTTAGCATATTTTAACACGCTGACTTTTCTTTTTAATATAGTTTACCTTTGCTTAACTATATGAATTAATGTTTCTATTTGAATAATTTTATCAGCCCAGGAGCTGGAGAAAGATATACATGGTCCCTTGGCAGAAAATATTTCCGCAGACAAAAGACTGGTTATTTTTGACAAAATCTTTTCCGCATACCATGATGCTAGAGGCTATATTCGAGCTGATTTGGTATTGGAAATTACTTGACTTCTCACTGTTAATTGTGAATCAATAACAATATATATTTACTTGTTAAGCTGAGATTTCATGCTTTTTGCTGTTGTAATTCTGTATAAGATACCGTATTTCTTTATCCATTTTTATTATTGTGCATTTTAGGCCACTGCAGGAAGTGCAGAAAGTGTGAAAGATGATTTGAATGGTCTTGATAAGGCTGTCAGCGCTGTCTTAGGAGAAAGAACCATTGAGCGCAACCTCTTGTTGGTCAAGATTGCAAAAAGTAAACTTGCAAAGCGTAATGATGATAAAAATGAAAAAGTCACCAAACCTGAAGAGCTTGTCCGCTTATATGATCTCTTGCTACAGGTTGATATCCATGTTTTGTTTGTGAAATTGCATTAATTGAACATATTTCTGTGTAAAGATCCTCAAAGTTGTTTTCTTTTTTCTTTTCTTTAATGCATATGGATAATGTATTTGGCAGAACATATCTGATCTATCTGATTTAGTCAGTTCTGGAAGGGACCAAAAGCCAGAAGAAGTTAGCTTTGCTGAAGAGTGTTCATTCAAAAGTTTGGCTTTCCGAGCAGAAAGGTTTGCTTTCTGTGATCAAATATTTTTCTTCCCGATCTTAGAGATATCTCTTCTTAAGTTATTTGCTTCCTAAATGCACTGGCACATGCTTGCACACCCCATGTTATTTTTAGCCTTTTCTGGAAACCAATTATTTCTTAACTTTCTTCTGGACTACTAAAATATGTATACTGATAGGCACTAAAGAAAGTTAATCACAACATGTCATAGATATTTACAGACAGTTTGAGTCCCCCATCATTAGTTATTTATTTTCATTTCTTAAAAGATGATTATAGGGCAAACCTAGTATGTAAAGCTCCCATCACGATAGAGTTTAGGGAAAGGTCAAACCCAGTGTGTCATCTCTTATCAGATGAGTAGAACTGGAAATAAATGTTAAAGCGGGTTGTTTGTCAGTTTGCTGCAGCATATGCTAATATTATCTTTATTGTTTGGGTAATGCCTTGATGTTCGCGAAAGAAAGATTATGTTTATGTCCCCTGTCATAGGGCCCCAAGGAAGGGGTAATTGAGTAGTAGGTGGGTGATTACTGTGCTGCTGGCAGTGCAACCAAATCTGTATCTGGTCTTTAAAGAGATGTTGCCACCTGAACTAACTATGCATGTTCATGTTTATGACTTGTGTGCAGGTGCTTTTATGTTGCAAAGTCATACAGTGTGGCTGGGAAGAGGGCCGAAGCATATGCTTTGTACTGCCGTGCTCGCAATTTAGCTGAAGATGCCTTAAGAAAGAGTCAAACATTAGATGGCAGTAATAAGGTAATTTAATTTTTTTTGTGATCAGATACTAGCACTACTATCTGTGTTGTGATAACTTTTCAAACGTTAATTTTGGTCTAGTTTGCACACTGAAATTTGCTTCGTTTCATAGTGCATTTTAGCTTCCATAACTTGGAAACACTTGGTAGACTCTGAATGAGTGTGAAATAAATTGTTGTTGACTGGAATAAACTAAACAAAGGCCTTTTATATTATGTTCTTCAACCAGGAGTAGATCCAAAGATGGGAATTTATTGGGCCAAACAGATCAAAGGATATCATTGTACAATTATCCTGATTCTAACTTCACACTAAGAACTTTAGAGGTTCTGTTAGTGAGTTAAGAGGGTAGGTGAAAGGAAAGTAAAAATTGAAAAAAATGTAGAGAAATCTTTAATATTTTTTTGAAAGAATGATTTTGTATAAAATAATAAATGAATGTTTATCATTAACATGTTTTTCATTTTCAAAATATTATGACGACATATTATATTTGAACAATTTATCTAAATCCTCTAAAACCCTCGAAACTCTTCAATATAATTTTTTAGTTCTCCAAAACTAGGAGGATTTTGTATTATGAATAAAAGTAGACCTCCTAAAAGTCAAAACCCTCTCCACATAAATTCCTCAATTCTTTTCATGCAATCCTTATCTTTTTTCAAAGTCTTCCCCTCCAAACTCCCAAACAAAGCCTAGGGTCTGCATAGTGTTTTCAAGCTAGGGAGTTAATTCCTTCACTTTATTTCTTATACTCTTAATTAGGAATATGCTTAAAATTTTTGTTGGGTAAATATAGTTGTTTTAGACTTATTTTTATTAATTCGTACATCAAACCTCATGTCTGATTTGATCGTTTTTGTATTTTCCTCCAATTCATATTTCTTTTCCTTTTTGGCTTGGTAGACTGTGCTGAAAGAATTAGAGGTCTTGTGCAATGAAGCCCGCTCCAACAGTTGTATAGAACATGCATTAGGGATCATGGAGGAGAAGAGGACTCAAGAAAATATCTCCGAAGGAATCTCAAATATATCATTGACCGGAGCTGAGCGGGTACATAAATTTCTACTTCTCATTTGATCCTTTGTTTTAGTGTCATGGGACGTTGTTGTGACTTTGGACTCTGTTGAATCTGTCTTATCTATGTAGACAATTGTAGCATTTGCACAAACATCAATCGATATATTCTTAACATGTACTCCTATCTGTTTCAGTCGGAGAAGTTCCTATTAGAGAAACTTGATGTATATGAGTCTGCTGTGGGCGATCCAAATGTGAAATCTGCACCCCGCATTGCACCCTTCCCCCCAGCTTTCCAGGCAATTGCCCGTAACCCTATTGTGCTGGACCTGGCGTATAACACTATCGAATTCCCTGATATTGAACACAGGTTGAAGAAGGACAAAAGAGCAAAGGGCGGCTTTATAAGTAGAATATTTGGATGAGCGTATTTGATATGGTGTTTGGCGACTTAAAATGAAAATTTCTTGAAAACCGATCACATGATTTCCTTTGTTGAAAATTGTTTCGAATTATTAGATGATATAGAATTTTTGAGTGGTCTAGGTTATCGAAAATTTACAGCAGAGATTGTATTTAGTCACCGGTTTTGATTTTGTTACACCACTTAAAGTAGAACGGGATTTGCTTAAATAATAAAAGTTAAATGCTGTTGTATTTACTAAAAAACGCTTCTTTTCCCCGAGGAATTACTATAGTTTTACCTAAACTGATTTGATCATTGGTTTTGATTGTTTTTCCAATATATGTTCATCGCACGATATTGCAAGTGCTATTTATTATTTGACGAGGGATAGTATGAGGTTCGATATGCAGGTATCTTTTTCAACTCAGGTTACTCAGCTAGAAAATTGAGCAGCTGCCATGCTATATATTTTTCATGCTTAATTCAAATAGTGTTGTATAATAGAAGTTTGGAAGTATGAATTAATGAAGGGGTTGCTCTTCCCACCCTTAGTGGCAAAGATCTACCCTAAGGAAACTCAAAAATATCATTGAAATAAAGTTAATCTTCAGACGTCAAAATACTTTATAAGTGAGGTATTCATTTTGTCAAAAAATAATGTGGAAGTTAATCTCATTGTTGAAAGGGCGAGAATGTAGGCTAAGTTTTAGACTATTTCTTGAACACATTTTGAAAATGTCCTCACTGTGGATAATCAAGTCTCGTATTAATCTCCAGAATTTCTTTGTTATAAATTTGACATATTTTAATAAACCTTATATAATTCAATCAAACTATACACCTTATATAATTCAATCAAACTATACATCAATCACAAAATACAGTCAAAAAATATCATATATAATTCAATCATAACATACACTTATGTAGCTTAATCAAAATAGCATATAGTAAGTCTAAATACAAACCAAACATTGTTCACAAAATATAAACTAAAATATAAACTAAAATACAAATGATTAAAATATTAAGAAAAGTCAACTACTGGGTATATTTGACTCTCTGGTTCCTCCTATGCCTCCTATACTACAAGACATGTCGTGCCTAGTCTATTGTGGCCTCTACACTTACCCTCCCAAGAATGTCTTCCTGAAACTCTCATCTCTCTCTATACCCGCTCACCCAATAACTACAATACATTGAGAGATCGACAACACATCAACGACATGGTCTGTCTTAGCCTGATCCTCTTGTAATATCTTCTAATGAGCTGGTCTAGGTGAATCCCCCCTCTGCACCCGATGCAAGGATGTGACATTCGGAAAAAAAACCATTGGATGTATAATACATTACTTCATGTCTTAGGAGCTGAAACATTACATATATACTCTATGACCAAATGATCATGGTACTCCACAAATATCTTATCAACATCTCTGCGGGGGTGTGGGAGGAGCAAAAACGATGTGGGCTCTAGGAATATCATACAAATATCCGAACTGGCGCGTGACTCACTTAGGTAGACGTGGATACATCAGTCGTGATCCATATGTCATCCATCTGGAGTAGAAGGATATCTCATTGGATGAGGTGTGTTGCACAATGATCTTCGTATGATGTGAAGTTTATATCATATTCTACAATGCAGTAAAAAAACTTGGAAAGACTCGATCGCCTGATTCTCTTTGAGCTGGATGAAGGAGCAAACACATGGTAAAACCTCGATGTAGTCATTAACACATATCTAACCGGAGAGACGTGGAAAGTGCTGGAGAATCCTTGTCTGAAAATGATTTGGATGAAATATTAGTAATGACATACCATAAGTTTTATGAAATTTTAGTAAAAACAAAGGTGAAAATATATTACCGTAAATAGGGTGTTACTTGCTGTTATTTGTCTGGTCTTCCATAAACAAGCTTCACATAACTTTGAGTAGAGGTATACCAAACAAGAGGCCCCCAATTATACTCCTGAATCCTCTCCAAGTCAATGAAGTATCTCAAGTAGACGACATCGACATAATATGCATTTTTGTCCACGAATATGAATGTGGCAACCAAATGCAAGAGGTATGACCTCAATGCACATATTTTATGATGTGCTACCTGTGCATCATCACCATCATCCTCAAGTGTCATATCAAGATGATATTTGTACAACCTCTCAAAGGCATGACATCCTTTAGTGTCATATATCTTCTGTTGGGCATCACATGAGTAGCTCCTAAATACTGCACCATCATGTCCAATGAACCAAGCCTAGTGAGTTTGGAGTAGTTTAATAATCTTCTATTTATCAGAAGATGTAAGAGAGATGACACATCATCAAGTGTGATGGATATCTCATCGACCAGAAGATGGAATTAAGAAGTCTTTAAGTGCCATATCTCGATGAGAGCAGACAAAAGATCATGGTTAATAAAAGTATACTCTATCCTGCATAAATCTTGCAGCCTAGATAGCTGCATGACATCCTGAAATCATTCTTCATCAGGCCGCAGTAGTTTCATAATCTTCTTACCATGGTTGATACATTTCAATGACTCATACTGATGTAAAAAAATACATCAACATCAGAATGTTTAAATCTTATAACACATATGTTTAAAAGAATAAATACAAATTTATTTTACCTCCCTTTCCCACACGTGCCTGACAACATGGTCTACATACATACAAAGTAGTGAGGTGTTTGAGAGGCCTCTTGGAAAAACATTAGGAATAAAAGTAACATGTTGGAATTCTGGGGTAACATGGGCAACATTAGGGGACTCATATCTCCGTGAGAAAGATGTCGGAGGCACGTGAACTCTACAAGACGCTGCTTCCTCATCAAGTGAAGTGCCACCAATGGTTGGATGGGAGGGTATAACTCCCCCCTCCCAAACGAAAGGAAGTTTGATCACTCTATCATGTCTCAAGCTGTCTACGTTGTCAGACATTTTACCTATAATTAAACCAGAAAAGTTATATCACAATTAGATAAGCCAAACTCAAGGGACAAAATACACAAAATCAAACAACCTATGCATGTCACTAAAATCATTAAATTTTATACCTGCACGAAACCAAAAAAATGAGATACAACACTTCTCATTTCACAACATATGCTCTAACTTCAAACATCAAAAAATTTACATGCATGCCTCATTAAACAATCTATTATGTGTCCTAATGTACCAATAACAACATATTATGCGGTTAACTCCAAACTAATGCGTCACAAAACAAAAAAGAAAGAAAATGAAAAACTTATCAAATGTGAGAAATCATTGAATAAAGTGGAGTAGAGGTTGACTGATGTCTTAGGATTGAATGCAATTTAATAGAAGTAGCTATAAAGCTTGGAAAGTGATGAAAATTGAGTTTGCTCATGAGCTCTTCTTTGGGTTATGAGTAAACATTTTGAAACAAAATGAAGAAGGAACAAGGAAGGTTTGACGCATTATATGAATCAAACGCGTACGAAACTTAATCTCTGTAAAAAATACATAGCTTAGTGTTCACCGTGAAAATTGGTGAACAACCGCTGGTCTTACAAATCGAAAAAAAAATGTTTTACTTGCAGGATCGGCCACACAAATCCTAGGACATGTGCTAATTGATCTTAAATAAAGTTTATAAAGACGATTAACACTTTGACAAAGTTCATGATAAAATAACTTATTTCAAGTGTAAACGAATTTGGGAAAAAAGAAGTAAAACTGAAGTACTAGTAAATGATGAAGACAATGATTTGCATAAAGAAGGAGTAAATTCTTAAGGAAAAAGATTTATTAAATTGCATTGAAATGAAATATGGTGTTACATCAACGTACATTGTTACAAACTTATTTCTCTCAATACACGGGTACTTGGAGTATACTGAAGAATTTGTACACAATTGATCACACACAAATCCTAACACTAAGACTTGATATTTATACTAATCGAAAATAACTGCCATTAACGACTAGCAAACGAAATTGAGACAAGTATTGCTCTACATGCCTTCGAATCCTAGAAGCGCTCCACGTGGCTTCTTTGAGAAATGGATGAGACCGAACTTTCCCTCCTTTATTTGAATTCAAATCTTCCTGTCGAAATGCCTTCAATGGCACTTCTGTCGAATCGAGTCTTCCAACTGCTAAGAAATATCTCTAAATCCATAACATAGATTCTCCTGGCGAAAGGACGCCTTTGAATCAAATTCCAAAAATATGGCTTCGGTAGAAGTCATTAAATTTCTTCGGAAAAATCTATTTCCTACTCTTTAATCCCATTCAGACTTCGAAATTAAAAGCCAATAAATTGCCCCCCCCAAAATGTCATTTTCGACATCACTGAAGAAAAAGGCATTTTTTGATAGTGTCATTCGACGCCTCGAACGAATTTTGCATGTTTTGATGTCTCTTACTATTCCAAAGCCCATGACGTCATGATCATCATAGCAGTTTCTGAAAAAACGTCTCATAAAAGCACGCCACAATCTCTAGCCATCATCATGTTTCCTAGATCCTAGAAAATCGTGCACTAGGCCTTAATTGTCCACGTTTCATCTAACGGTCCTGATGGAACACGTGTCCCACTAATTATCAGCTCTTTAATGCTGATTTGAGATTCTTTGAACTCTCACGAGCTTATAAATTGCTCCAACTTAACCATTTATCCCTCTAATTCTTTGGTTTTTCTCTTTTCAGGCTACCACCGACATCAGAGGTCAGCCCATGGTGCAACAAATTATTCCAACAACCAGCTGCAATCCTAGCTATCATCCAACAACTTCTTCTGAGGCTACTATGAAAGGCTTCAAAAAAGGATTTGAGGAAGGAATTCAATCTGCAGGTGCTTCTAAGAAGAGACCAATCACTCATGCAGCTGAATTTCCTCATGTCGAGGTAGCCACTCCAAAAGAGGACTTGGTCGAAAGAGAAATCATTGATCTCTCAGAGGATACTGTGATGCCCAATATAGAATAAACTGCTGAGGGTAATCTTGAGAAGCAACAAAGCGAAGATGACAAGCTTGTTGAAGAAGA